CAACAACAACAACAACAACAACAACAACAACAACAACAACAACAACAACAACAACAACAACAACAACAACAACAACAACAACAACAACAACAACAACAACAACAACAACAACAACAACAACAACAAAGATCACAAGAAGGATGAAAATGATAATGATGGTAGCTCTGACGCAATTTACCAACAACAACAACAACAACAACAACAACAACTGCATTGGTTTCAAGAATTTGAAAGGCTCTTGTTTCAAGGCATTTTCAAAGGAATCCGTATTGTATTCCAAACAGTGACGGTAATGACCAAAACCATCGACACTGCAAATCAACCACATAGGCCACAAGTGGACTTGAATTTCGCAAATGTGCTCCTTCAATTCAATATTAATAATACAATTACAGTATGCACCCGTCTTGGCGCTGCAGTCTAGCTTGAGGCTGCTCAATTTGACCCGGCAAATCAAGGGTCCAAACGAGTTGCGAGCCAACTCCAAGAGCGCCAAGAGATAAGGAAAGTGTTAATGCCCAACATATATATGTAATGAATGTTGTTATTAAATTCACAGTATCTTGCACGCTTGAATATAAATCGTGAGTACAATCCGAAAATAAGAAATGATCAAACTTTGATATTACTGTACCGCTATCAGAATGAAATCATTCTACAACCCTCCTGGATATAATCCAAAACTTGTACCGTTGGAATGTGTATCCTATGCCACCTACGGCAACACACAACCATCAACCATTTCCATTCCCGTACCAAAACCAAAACCAGCATCTGCAGCACAACAGATGATTCACTGCCAGAATCATCCGGCGCCTTATCACAGTACTGGGGCATATCCAATTCAACAGGTTGTGGCACCACTGATCACCCGTGTTGCACACTCCGATCATCCGCAAACAAGAAGAAGTTGTAAAGGACGACTGCCGGAGATCAGCATGGTGGAGCTCCAACCAGTGAAAAAACGACAAGCGGTGCACAACTGGCAACCTACCGGACACATTGTCATTGGTCCAGAGGAGCTCTTTTGCAAAGTGTGGTTTCAGAAAAACACTGGTGGTGGCAAAATAAGACGTGATGCAAAAGAAAAGATAGGCAAAATGCCATCAATGGGAATTTCGAAAAAAGTTGGTGCCACTTGGGGAAAGCAGATACAGGAAGGAAGTGACATCGGAATACCTGATCACACCTGTGAGAGGCGTAACTGCAGCGACGAAGCATTTCCGGAAGTTGCAACAAACAAGGCTCCACAATCCACCATCTTTTGCAGACGTGAATATCAAAATTCTGATCAAATAGAAGTTGAATGTGGCAAGGCATTTCATCTGACTGGTGTGGATGCGGACACAGCAAGAACTTTGGAAACTGCAGCTCCCCAATGTGTTTTATACTTCAACATGATAAGAGACGAGGCCACAAGGAATGGCTATTGGAATCGAATAAAAAATGGCAAATACACCCAACAAATATGGTCTGCATCCGGAAATCGATTTGAACTTTCACCACATGGCTCCTGGTGGTGGGTAAGCGGTTTGCAAGGTGTCGTTGGTTGTGAAGAAAAAGCATTGTGGTACAAAAGCTTGCACAAAACATAGGTATGTGCCAAGATGTGGTCATGATCAATAGAAGCATTATCTACGTTGGACCCCACACGGAATCAATACAACAATGGCACACTGACCTGCGGGAGACGGGCGATATTGTGGTGCTAGTTGCATTGACACATCACAATGGTGTGGGCGGGACTGGGTTTCTGACTGACGCACGTTCATGCAAGGAAGTGGTCAAGGCAGAGCAAGCTGGGACACCCTGCGTTGATTTTGAGGATTCAAACATATACACAGCAACCTACCAAAATATCGGAGACACGGCTGTCTTTAGCTGGGAAACCTTTCACCGAGGAATGGGAAACAATCATGAGAGTGAACCAAGGCTACTCCTGGCATTGAACTATGGAATGCAGATGGCAGACGGTACTTTTCATAAGAGTTTAGGTGAAAGGGACTGTAGCCTCAACAAGACAGCCTTGGATATGGGTGACTGCAAAGCTGCACTGATTTCTATTTACAGTACCAATGCAAAATATTTGGAGGGGCAGGAAAACCAAAACAGCAATATACATGGTACTATCCCCTGTGGAAGAGGGAAGGGTTTGAGTGGTGTCAATGATGGTGTGAGCTTTGTTGTTCTTCCATACAAGTTCCTGGTGGATCACATGGTTCAAGTTGGAGAGTGGATGGGTATTGAAACTGTGGCTGTTCAGTGTTCTGATGTAGCAAAGGGAGCCACCCCAAGTCCATTGGTAGAGAACATTCCTGCCATTGTATTTCTTACTGTCGACTCTTTTGCAAAGATGAAGAGTGACAATGAAGGCAAGCTAGAGCAATGATGGTGCGATGAAGATATTCCACGGTGTATCTTTCTTGATGAGATTCACTTGCCTTTCATTAAGGTGGCAGAAGCTATGACTGTTTTCCACAAATTGTTCCAAAATTTGCGTCAAAGGAAACACAAGTCATTACAATGAGTGGCTCACAACCCAGAAGTGGCTAGGCAGTCTTGGTTTGGCTGGTATACCCATCCATGTTAAGTCAATCCCAACAAGTGATGCTCTCCAATCTGTGATTCAAGACAGACTTAAATTTGGCATTCCTACCTGTAGATCGTCCAGACATCTTAATTACTTCACTACACCAAGTCTCCAACCTTATAAAAGCGAGGACTTGGCACAACACAATGGGGCTTTTATGGTACACACTGACAATCTCTTTGCGCAATGAAAGTAGACAGGCAGGTGGAAAAACTTCAGAGTGCAGAAGCGGATGCAGGAACCTGTCTCTGAGGAATATGGATTGCTCCTGGCCTACCACTGACAGAAGGAGAAGGACGAGATCGATTTGTTGGTTGGTTTTAAAGCACACAGACAAAAAGGATGCTGTTCCTGTGGTGATGTTTTTGTTGTTGTCGGTGAAGATGTTGTGTCTTTGCTGTTTCTGTGTGTTTCGGAACCAAGAATAGTGCCATCACACGAGAATGGCAATGATGTCTATCTTATTCCATGTCCTGCTGGTACAACAAATGTCAAATTTCAAGCCGACTGGCACTATGCTAGTGAAGATAAAGATTTGACTGGTCTTGCTACTGAAGCAGATCAATGTATGCACTTTTTTCAAAGCTACAGAAAATAAAGAGATCCATTTGGATTGTACAATCATGTCATCATGTACAGTGGTTGCACAAACACCACCATTTGTTATGGTGAGCTCATGCATGGACTCTGACATGCTGAGAGAGAGCTTAATATGCACACTAATGTGGGCAGTAGAGTTCTTGACGAAGAAGGTTTTCCAGGAAGATTTCTGCCTCCGGTCTATTATGATAAAGATGGAATTGCCAATGTACTTGCTATGTGCAAGATGATTGCTGCGGGATATTGCGTTACCATGGATACTGATGCTGACAATGCCTTTGTTGTAAATTGCAATGGAGACAGTGAGATGCAATTTGTTAATCGTAAGGGTGTGTATGTGTTGGAGCAACTTGGAGCAAATTTCAAACCAGGTGCAAAAGAGACATGTGAAATGTACCGTCGCCAGTTAAGCAACTTAAATAATCAACCCCATTTCGAACTTTCTTCAAACAAACAGAATGGATATGCTGGACTTGGGATGAACTCAAAGATGGCAATGTTCAAAAGAACAAGGAAGGATTCACTCCAAGACAAGTCAAGGCTGCAATGGGAGCGAGAAGTGCAATGCACATACTCAATGCTCCAAGCACCAACAGTCTAAAGTATGCAATCCAATCTGGTCTCATCAAGAACTGTCCTATCACTGAAGAAGCGACCAATCATGCTGAAGCAATCTTTGGACCTGGCGCATCTACATTGGAAGGCAAGTCAACAAGACCAACATCGGAAAAGAAGGTCTGGTCCTATTGGTTGGCTTGCTTGAGTCATATTAGGACATGGCTCGGTCTGCTTATGGCACGTGGCCATGTGATGTTTTTGCAGCCATTTGACTGGAACCTTTTGCCCCTGTGCTAATGTCACCTTTGCTGTGCGAAAAAATCACCTACTACTTGTCATTTTGGGACAGGAGCTAGCCACCATCAACCATGCACTGACTGTCTCAAGACCACAATCACCCTGTCATTTATTTCATTGTCAGCATCATCTATTGTCACATGCCCAAAGTGTTAATGTGATCACTACAACAATTGAAATATCACAATGACAACATATTAATATCAACTAAATAATACTTGTTCTATCTACTTTTCAGGAATCTATTTGCCATCATCCTCATGTACTGTTACAATTTGTTGCCTTGCCTTCTTGTGCTTTTGTTCAGAGCATTTGCGGTTCAGTTTGTGGTGTCACTGCTGGGCCATTCTTTGGCCAGTGCCTTCCATCTGTCCACATGATAGTTCTCCACCATTAAAGGTGCAAATGCTTCATTGGTGACATTTGCATCACCAGAATGTTCAGTGACAAAAGAAGCAGGTGAGATCAAGGCTTTTTGTCACACAACGGTAGCGCCAAAACATGAATACTCACCCTCTTTGTGTTCATGGTCCTCATCAGAGCTCACACTTGAATTATTGTCATACACCTTTTCCTGTCTCCAAGCCTCCCCTTCATGTGTTAGAATAAAGCAGAATGTGCTCTATCGTGAGTGCCTTTAGCGCTCAGAACAAACTCTCTGCAATCTAAATTTGTAATTGACTGTACAACACTTTCACGACAATAGTTCTCCTGTGTCTAGATATACTTTGAGTGAAATTGTTCCTATTTGATT